CTGTACAAGAATGACTTTGTCCAAAGAAAGTATCTGCTAGCATGTTCACCTGTCAAGTAAAATGTCTGCTAACATCCACATTTGATAGGAACCGAGAATTTACACTGGTGTTCTCAAAGTGTTGTCCTGAACCAGCAGCGGCAACATCTGGAAACTGATCATCATTATAAATTTGTGGGCTCCAACCCAGACCTATTGAATCAGAAAGTGTGGCACGCAGTGTTCCGGTGATTCTGAAGGACATTGAAGCTTAAGATCTCATTGTGTCTTCTACAAGAGGAATGCTGCCAGTATTTCATTCTGCTTTCTCATCTATTTGTCTCTGACTTTGTAGCGGTCTTTTTAAAGTGTTTCAGCAACAGTGTGAACTGTAATCATTTGGCTGGCAGGAGTACAAGTTTGAACGACTTTCTGTTTTGCTCTCTTCTCTAACTTCATTGACAGCATCACTCAATATAATACCCTGGAAACCATCATGTCGCACTTGTTCCAGGAAAAGTCAATTGGTTTACCAGAGAGATCACTTTGATTTGTTAGGAGGCATCCTAAGAGCTTCATATCACAATTTAACCAAGTTTTGCAGCAAAAACAAACAAACAAACAAAAAAAACATGGAAAATTAGGGGTAAACAGACTCTTAGGCCACTACAAATTTTTTGCTGCTATTCATCATGCATACATTTGCCTTTACATTTTTGTCTGTTGCATGAAGTCCTCATTTTCAAATGTACTTGTCCCAGTATATATAGATTAATATTCCATATTCGCACTGTAGAGTTATTAGGCTTCCAACGTTCTTCTGAGACATGGTGTTTCATTCTTGGAATGTATGTCTATTCCAGAGTCAGTGATCTGGTTTTGGTGTTATTTTTTTGAAACAGAGTTTTGTTCTTGTTGCCCAGGCTGGAGTGCAATGCTGCATCTCAGCTCACTGCAATCTCTACCCCACCAGGGTTCAAGCAATTCTCCTGCCTTAGCCTCCCGAGTAGCTGGGATTACAGGTACCCGCCACCACACCCAGCTAATTTTTTGTATTTTTAGTAGAGACGGGATTTTACCATGTTGGCTAGGCTGGTCTCTAACTCCTGATCTCAGGTGATCCACCCGCCTTGGCTTCTGAAAGTAGTGGGATTACAGGCGTGAGCCACCGTACCAAGCACAATAATAACCAAAAAAATGTAAATTTATCAGACAACGAACAAATTATATGAGGATATGCCATAAACTTTATCCTGTTTTCTGACTGTTAGCACATGGATAAACTAAACAACGTGGTCCTCTAGTGCATATGAAACCAGTGTAAATGTTATAATTAGACTAAAACAAAACATCTGTGAAAAAAATCATTAAATTTATATGCCAAATTCGTGAAATGCATGTGAACCAAATTGCTCCATCATATTTTCCTCTGAAAGTGCCAAAGAGCCTACCGAACAACACGTTATGCTTTCTGTCTCCTAAGGGACTCTGTTTCCAGCCCTCTCCTTTCTTCAAGAGTTTCAATCATTATCTGCTAAAGCCTCTCTTCTCATTTTAACTCAATTCAAAAACTAAAGATTGAGCTCCTCCCTATGAAATACTCCATATCCATCGTGACCTGAGGACAAGTGGAAAATGGTCCCTACATTCCTCAGTTACCCCATAAGGCAGAAGGCAAGGTTAGGCTCTGTGATACCAGACAGACTGTGGAATCCTGAGTACCAGGGCACAGGAAACAAGCAAAGGGCTGAAAAAGCCCACAGGGACAAGAAGTCAAGCCTGACTCTTCCCCAGTACTTGAGAATAAACTTGAATGTGCTTGTTGATCTAGCTAACTCCTCTACCTGCCTTTTTGTTTTGTTTCTTTTCTTTGCATTTACTGACATACTTCTCAAAAGCATGCTCTAGATCCATGGTTTCCATTGCTTCATCACTTACTTCCTCCTTACCCGTTGCAACATACCTCACAGTTCAACACTTCAGCATTCTCCATGGTATTTGATCTCTCCGTGTTTCTTTTCCACTACATTATATGAGTGCCTCTCAGGGGAGCAGGAGTGCATTTCAGAATGGCTGGTAAGGCTCTGTCAACCTCCACCTCAGAATCACCTAAGATACTGGTTCTCAAGCATTGCACATGAAGATCATGTTCAGGCTTTGTAACAAGTAAACTTGGCTAGGCTAAACAACGTTTCCCAGAATTCCCTTTCTGGTTAGGGTGGACCAAGAAAGACATTTGGGGGCAATTTTGGGGGTGAGAAGTAAAGCAACATCCATTTCATAGCCCTCATACATTGTTGCTTATCTGCTGGCTCATCATGTTGGCATAAATCAGCAACCAGACCTGTACCTGGGCCAGGTGAATGTTGTTAGCCTTGTGACAAAGGGGCCCAGTTTCTGCAGGACACCCACACCATCTAGGTCAGAGGCAACAGGAATTTCTACAGATTTTAGTCCATCGTCATGGGCCCCAGCCGGTTCTTACTTTTTCCATCCATCCCTCACTTCACATCCTTCTCTTCCGGTCTGCCTGTCCTGTCCTTCAAGCTTCAGCATCAAACACAAAGACAACACCTTACTCCTTACCCAGCTCCCACAATTCCATATGCTCAAATTCCTGTAACAGACCCCTTCATGTGTAGGTATGCTCCTTCAATTGAACCCTGCCTGAGAAACTCCTCCAGACGAATCAGGTCTGACAGTCAGAGGTGACGCCCAGACATGAGCATGTGTTAAAAGCTCTCACATGGTTAGACAGCATCCGCCGTAAGTTAAAAACCTCTACATCCCATTGCAAATCCTTGCCAGAGTAAGCCTACAGTGGAGGGGAATCCTTAGCTGAGCTAGACCTGTGAAAAATCTAAAATCCTGCCCTACCCTATGTGTTTTTCCTGATTTATTCTTCCTTTTCCTTTTTCACAAATCCAGCCTCTGCCCACCTCCCAGCCCACTGCAACCTCTCAGTCTTTCTTCCCTCCCCACCTACAGCTTCTAGAATGATCTGGAAAAGTAAACATAATATCCTTCCATGCTCAAAGGCTTTCAGCAACTCCTTGTCCGTCAGGGATCAAATCTAATCTCCTTATCTGATATTCAAAGCTCTCCAGAGTCTGGCTTCTTCCTACCTGGCCAACCTATCTTCCCTCTTCCTTCTTAGTATAAACCCTACCAGCTTTCTGAACCTCCATCAACCAAAGAAAGAATCAAACAGTGATTGCACAATGAAAAGGAAAACGCCTTTCCTTGGCCTCCTTGGATTCTGCTAACCACCAAGGCCACAGGCCGGGTAACACCCAGTGCAACCTCTACATCATCTCTTCTCAATCCACTTGCTGCCTTCCTCTTTTAATACCAGTAAGGGTTAGAATTTACATACGGGTTCTCATTGTATGAGAAGTAGAAAGAAAGTAAACTACAAATTCCTTTTAGAGGCACCCTTAACAATTTAATACTTTAATGTAGCAGCTGACCACTTCTTTCATGTCCAATTCATGCTGCTGCTGCTATGATCCTATTCCCAGAACTGAAGGACAAAGAGAGTATCTTCCCAACTCTCCATCACAAAACCAAAGACTAAACCAAAGGAGATACCACACTCCTCGCCCAGTGAGGGAATGTGTTCTCTTCCGGGTCCACAAGGGGGCATAGTTTTAAAGGTAAGAATTTCCCAGCACATGCTCCCCTCCCATCTCTCTCCATCCAGGAGATTTAATGGTTTCTGTTTGAGCTCCTGAAGAAACTAAGAGTCAATCACTCCAGGGGAAGTTCTAAGGAACTCCTTTCACTGGCCTGGGGTCTTAGAGAAGTGGGGGTTCCCCCCAGGTTAAAAGTCCCCTTCTTCACATCCCTTCGGACTCCATGATTGAGTCCCCTTCTAGGAACACTCCCTTCGTGGAAGCCGTCTTTCTCTCCTGGATTTCCCCTCTGGGGTGCCCTTCCCCACTCTCGTGGAAAACTGTCTTCCCCTCTGAAACTCCATCTCTCTCTCTATTCCCTTCCACTCAGTGTGGAAGCTGCTTTTCTCTCCTGGATTCCGTCTTTCTGGATTCTCTCATTCAGTGTGAGAGTTAACTGTTTCTTTCTCTCTCCTCCTATTTCTCTCTCTCTTTAAATAAAATCACTTTCTACAAATACTTTTGACTCCAACATTTACTGCGCACTGCGCCATGGTCCCCTCTCTCATTCTTGGGAGGGCAGGAGACCGAGAACCTGGAGAAACATCCTCTCAGGGGAGCTGAGGGCACCCTGAACCCCTAAACCCCAACATTACACCAGCATAGAAATTTCAAAACCAGCACCTAGTCTGCAATAACCAATAAGGCCTTCTTATATGCTAGCGTTCTCTACAATAATATATGAACTCGCTTTGAAATTTCCTTGCTCAAAATAGAGGACTTCCTTACCTTAGGAGTCTCCTATTTGCATCTTGGAAAGAAGGCTTTACACACTTAATGCATTTGCACTCAAAGTTGCCAAAGTCTCTCTGGGCCAGCACAGTGGCTCAAAACTGTAATCCCAGCAGTTTGGGAGGCCAAGCGGGGTGGATCACGAGGTCAAGAGATCGAGACCATCCTGGTCAACATGATGAAACCCCATCTATACTAAAAATACAAAAATTAGCTGGGCATGGGGGCGTGCACCTATAGTCCCAGCTACTCAGGAGGCTGAGACAGGAGAATCGCTTGAACTCAGGAGGCAGAGGTTGCAGTAAGCCAAGATTGCACCACTACACTGCAGTGTGGTGACACAGCGAGACTCTGTCTCAAGAAAAAAATTTTAAAAAAACTCTCTGCAAATGCCAAGAGCTTGAGAAAATGGAACCAAAGCACTGAAGGAAGCCCTTGCCACATGCATTTCTGATGGGCCTATTATCATATAATATAAAAAGGAGATATTCAACACGTCCAAAGGCCTATGGCTGAAGTTTTGCTTTAATTTTCCACTTTCGTCTTTTTCATTACCATTCACCTGCTAATGTTTATATTGAAAATGTTTTCTCTAGACTTCACAAAAATACTCACCCATATTTCTCTGCAAGTGCTCTGGCTTCCTCCTCTTTCACTACTCTCTGGTCCTCCAGATCACTCTTGTTTCCACATAGCACTATATCTGGGTTTTCACAATATGCATGCATCTGTAGCTGGCCTATTCATATAGAAAAGTTTATTATACGAAAATAATAATGTAAGTGTATGATCAACAAACAATACATGCCAAAGTGCTTTGAAGACCGTAATGTACATACAGATACTGGGAATTGACAAAATGCTTTCAAAGCATCAATAGTTTATCCAAAAGCTGAATAGTTGGGGCAGAAATATAAAACCATTCCTGTTCTTCAGCACATACCCTGGTTTATTGCTATCAGAAAGTTTATAAGAGAATGTGCTAACTCTCAAGTGTGAGAGCCCACATGTGCACATACACATGCATGCACACACACACAAAACACCTTTCTTTTTTATGAAAGCTATTTGAAAAGAAACTTGGAGGTGTTCCTAGGGTTTATTGCTAATCTTAAAACTGCTTTTATGTGTTTTTTTTTTTCTCCATAGCAATGACATTTCTAAAAGAATTGTTTTTCTCCAAACTAACCTATTTCTATCCAAAATGTTTTTTACATTTTTCTATTATCATAGGGCAGAATCAATCATTCAAGACAAACAAGATACAGACTTCAATGAGGAGAAAAGGCCCAGATAAACAGTAAATGATTCTGTCACCAGAATCAAGTGGAAGCAGAGGACTATAACTCTTATCCACAGCATTTATTTCACCTGAAAACAGGCACAATTATAAAAAGCAATTGACTCAAATAAAAGAACTTCACTAAGCTAAACAGTTCAATCTTTCAAAGTAGGAAAGTAACGCCTCATTTCTTAATCATCACACCCCAGAATAAAATTAGGGCCTGAACTTTCACAACAAGACATACTTCAAAGTTTATGGCCTAATTTATTTTTCATCATGGTTAACCAGAAAAGTGTGGACATTTTAGTTCCTCATTCGGAAGTTGGGTTCATTATATCTTCTTATCATGAGGAAATCAAGTAGGCAGGTGTTTACTGAGCATTAGCACAGGCCTGATACTCTGCATGGATTTTCACAACAGTTCTTTGCCCTCATAAGGGCAACTGGGGTAATAAGAGCCACAGAGGAGAGACCAAACTGTGTATCATTTCATGAAGAGCCATGCCCTTTCTTTCCTCCAGGTCGTTACACATGCTGTTCCCACATCGTTGAATACTTAACCACAACCTTCCTTCAGACTTGCTTCATGGTTACCTCATTATTTTTCGGTTCTCCAGAGTGGCTCTGTGCTCTGTGTAACGCCTTCTAAGGTGTTACAAGCCCATGCCATGGCTATGAGCATGAACTCAGGATCCAGTGTACCTAGGGTTGAATCCTGGCTCTGATATTTATTAGTTATGTGTCCCTAATGAAGTGATTGGACTGCCTCAGTTTCCCCATATGTAAATGGGGATAATAATAATACTTTATATAGTCAAGGTAAGGATTAAAATGAATTAATTCAGTGATTCTGTAGGTAAAGACTGTGAACCACTAGCCCTAGCATAACCTAAGAATTGTTGGCATACAAGTCTCAGGTCCCACCCCAGATCTACTGAATCAGGAATGCTGGAAATGGGGCTGGAAATCTGTGTTTTAAAAAGTCCTCCAGGCAGCTGAGATGCACATTCACATTTGAAAACTACTAACTTAATTTATTAAAGCATTTAGAAGAGCATGTGTAAGTATCACCAGTAATTATGGTTAACAGTATTTATTTTGGGCAGTCTAGAAAGTGCAATGATTGATGATTTCTTTTTGTTGCATTTTTCCTACTTTTTCTACTAAGACTGTGCTTATCTAAAAAGTAAATTAGTTATTTTAAAAACTTCACTTAGATAAAAGTCATATACATAAATAACTACAATCTGATACTGGATGTAATAAGAACCCTATAAACAGTATAAAATGTAACGGGTTAAGAGGACAGAAAACATCTAACACAGCTAAGGTTATCACAGAAAATATCACAGAGGCCATCTTTGCTTGGTTTCAAAGAATAAGCACAATTCTAGTTGGCTAAAAAATGCGGGTGGGTTGGCCAGGTGCGGTGGCTCACGCCTGTAATCCCAGCACTCTGGGAGGCAGAGGCAGGTGGATCACAAGGTCAAGAGGTCGAAACCATCCTGGTCAAAATGGTGAAACCCCATCTTTACTAAAAAAACAAAAAAAAAATTAGCTGGGCATGGTGGTGCCTGCCTGTAGTCCCAGCTACTCAGGAGGCTGAGGGAGGAGAATTGCCTGAACCCAAGAGGCGGAGGTTGCAGTGAGCCAAGATGGCGCCATTGCACTCCAGCCTGGGTAACAAGAGTAAAACTCCGTCTCAAAAAAAAAAAAATGCGGGTGGGTGTGAAAGGGTTTTTCAGACAGAGAATAATAGGAATAAAAATTAGAGGCAAAAATATGAAAATATATACTATTCAGTTCTTGTACTCCTCATGTTAGTCTACAGAAGAAAGTTTAGAAATGTAGGCTACTTTAACATTTCCTTGCGAAACACACTAGCTCTGAATGCAGAGTGACTCTGGGCATGACTTGCCTACTCTTCTGAAATCTAGGAAGACAGGGCAGTGACCACCACGCTACCAAACTCCTTTCAGATTTCAATCCAGCCCCAGAGGACTCAGCCCCTGTTCTGTCTCATCAACTGAGTGGGGCTTACTTTAGACTCTTCTCACCCTTCCTAAGAGGGCACGGAGAGACTGAGTGAGAGGGAAGGGTCTGCAAGGAGCAAAGAGAAAGGGAAGAGTATAGACCTGTTCTCCTCTCGCCTTGGCCAGTCAAAGCCCATGAGCCAGCTACTTCTTTAATGTAACAATGTGTTCTGGAACTCACCACTGATATGTGTGTGTGTGTATATATATGTGTGTTGTGTGTGTGTGTGTGTGTGTGTGTGTGTGTGTGTGTTAAGCTATTATTTTGATTAAGAGACAAGAAATGAATGATCCTTTTAATACTCAAAATGCTGACAGAAAGAAAAAATTTAAACTACAGACAACAAATTTTTGTTCCTAATTAAGATTTGACATTACCACTTCTGACATTGAACATTATACCTTTTAGTTTAAATGGTAGGGGGTGGAAAATGCTTTCTATTAAAGATATAAAATCTTCAATATGTATAAAGTGTTCTTTACCTAACTGAGCAATAAGGACTCTTACTCTCTAAAGAAAACAAAACAAAATACATAGATATGTATACATCTTTTCACATAGCTTTGTTCTTTATCCAACTAGTTAGCCTAGATGGGCAATATTTATCTAATGTCTCAGACTTTTAGTGTCTGCCTGTGAAAAACAGACAGGTTGTTTATTTTTCAATGTTAATCTAAAAATTAGAGATTCTGTGAGCACTCGCTAGTGATCCTTATAAAATGGTTGGTTTTTAAAAGCCCCTGAACTTGTTTTGATGATGCAAAGGAGGGATGATGAGGATGGGTTAAGAGTAAGAGACCATAAATAGCCACTGTCACTCATCTACAGGGAAATAATGAGGTATGCAGCTCAGCCAGGCATCTAATGAAGTGGAGCCCCAGTAAGCATTACTGTATTTGGGGAACTCATATTTAAAGTAATTAATGGCTCTTCAACTCTTAGTGGCCAAATGACAAGAACGGGCATAAAAGTCCATTGAACTGAAAGTCAAAGCTCATATCCTTAGATAAGTCTGTTACTTTTTAAGCCTCAATATCCTCCTCCTGAAATAAGGACACAACATTGACCCGAACCTCTGCACAGGATGATTGGGAGGATCAGATACAAAGTATGTGAAAACCACAGTGCACTAGATAAATTATTTTTAAACTCATTTTTAAAATAAGGTTTTCTACTATCAAAACTACAGCCAATTACCCTTTCATAATCCCCAAACAGCAAGTAATTTTTAAGTAATACTTTTTTAATCAGTGTTTTAAAGATTTAGATGTTGAGAATTTAATATTACAGGTTTCTCTAATAAATTCTCTAGGGTTATACTAGTATGACCAAAGAAGGAAAATACACATTTGAAAGCTGTTCTGCAGTCAAGTGGCGAGATTCTATATGGCTATTAACCAATCATTTCGGAGGTTAAAATCTCTACAAAATCAAGGTTGACATACATTGCACTGGGGACCACTTTTACCAATGCAGTAGAGTTTTCCATGGCAGAATCCTCCTGAAAAATGCTCTAACCCTAAAAGCTAGAAGGGGACTCTAAGCAAAGAAAAGACATGAAGCCAGGGGTCTGATCCATTAAGCCTTCAAAAGCTATCTGCATCTATGTAATATGTATGTAATGCCCAGAGATCATAGAAGAACTGATAGCACACAGTAGACAAGGGGACACTTACTCATCTAACTTGTCTAGGCTTCTACTTCCTCATCTATAAAATGGGAATAAGAGTCTCTTCTGTGGGATGCACTGAGAAGGAGAGCACACATAAAGTGCTGCCTGCTACCTGGAGCACAGGAAGTACTCAACAAATCAAAGTCATCAGTACCAGGAAAAGCAGGGTATTTCAATTACCTTTGTCCCTAAACTAAAAACTTTGCTCCTTAAAAGACTATTTGCACTAAGAGCTCCTCCAAAACAGAGGTAGAGCATAAGAAAGGCCTTTTATAAATAAGAGGGGAACGTGTAGCAGGATACTGGGAAACAGTAACACTTACTTATCCAGTTTCTGACATTGAGGAAACTTTGCTCATTCGTCAGATCAAAAAGTAGAAGAAAACCCATAGCATCTCTGAAGAACGCTGTCGTTAAGCTACGAAACCTAGGAACATAAAAGCAGAATGGTCAGTTAAACGAGGGCCCCACTCCTGAAATACAAAGCTACAAGCAATACCTTTAGCCTCTTACAAAACTTTACCAATAACAAGCTACATGGTGATATTCCAAAAGCATATAGGATAGTTATTAATCACTTATATCAGTTTAAGTGTTAACAGACCATGTGATTTGAAAACCCAGCCTGCTGGACAGGGATGGCAAGAGCCAGCTTGTGATCTTAGTCTCAGTCAAGAATTTGTTGTACAATTATGAGTTAATTTGGCCAAAAGCAATAGTGTATGTTTTCCTTCCTTCTGTGAATGCTTGACTTGACATTACAATGTGTTCCTTGATCTTTTAATTTCAGAATATGCAGAGATCTCTTATCTCTGATAGCCATTTGTTGGGCTTTAAGGTAAGAATCTCTTGACTCAGACCCTATTCTGTCTTAGTACTCTGCCTTCCAAGCCTTTATCCTCCTGTTTTCTCTGTCTTCTCTCTCTCTCTCTCTCTCTCTCTCTCTCTGTCTCTCTCCCCACCCCCACCCCTAACTCCCCTCCACCCTGAGTCAGTTTCCTCTCATCTTTGCCTATATGTAAAGTCTGTAACTGACAGGCAGGCTCTAGGGAAGAAAATATTGGTATGACTTTGTCATCTAATCAGCAATATTAGTTTTTTCTCAAATACTTTTAATCAATGTTTTTATTAAAAAGACTTCTTAGCCTGGTGCGGCAGCTCACACCTGTAATCCCAGCACTTTGGGAGGCTGAGGTGGGCAGATCACGAGGTCAGGAGTTCAAGACCAGACTGGCCAATATGGTAAAACCCCATCTATACGAAAAAATAAAAAATAAAAAAAATCCAGGTGTGGTGGCACACGCCTGTAGTCCCAGCTACTCAGGGAGCTGAGGCAGGAGAATCACTTGAACCTGGGAGGCAGAGGTTTTGGTGAGCCAAGATGGCACCACTGCACTCCAGCGTGGGGAAAAGAGCGAGACTCTATCTCAAAAAAAAAAAAAAAAAAAAAATTCTTATCTTTTAGAGCTACATACAAATGAAATAATATAATGCCTGGAATTTGCTTCCAAATTATATGGTAAGGGGCTATGGGTGAGATGAGGTAAAGTGCATAAATAATGAAATACTATTCACCACAATTTCATAATTATTGAAGTTGAGTAATGGGTACATGGGTTTATCATATAATCCTTCCTCTTTTGAATATACTTGAAGTTTTCCATAAAAAAAGTTAAAAAACAAAATCCTTCAAGGTGGCTATGAGAGAAAACAGAAGTTTTATAAAAGCAACTTTTATAAAGAAGATTTCATGTGGTTAATTTTATAAAAAAATTTCATGTGGTTTATTTTGGTCAAGTAAGCTCTGGTCATATGAATTAATTCCAACCAGATTTCCCACTAGTTTTCAACAATCAGGTAGGAATAATCCATGTAACTTGGCCACTTTCTCATGGTTGAGTAAATGTCAAAAGGAAATGGAGCAAAGTGTGTAAGTCAAAAAAATTAAAAGATGAAAAAGAAAGTCCACAAGTAAGAATCCTAACCTTTCCTTGGACCTTGTATGAAATAAAGCCACCATTCTCATCTCAGACTGACAAATTTCCTGCTAATTTGGCAGTATATCTTATCCAAGTGCAAATCAAAGAACTGGCTGGTTTTCCCTGCTCAGGTCACTGTTTGAAGAATGTAACTGTTTTTCCCTTTCCTTCAGTAAAAAGCACGTAACTGAAGATCTCATACCTCTCCTGCCCTGCTGTGTCCCATAACTGCAGATGGATTCTCTGGCCTCTGCCAGTGGCTCCATCCGGCCCATTGGCTCTGTACACCTAAAACAGAAAAGTGAAAGAGAAAACAAAAGAGAACTTCTGACTCCAGTGAACCATTCTCACCTTTTTATTCAGTACAAACCCTAAGGCATCTACATTTCTAAAGAGAATCCCATCTGGAACACAACCACGTTTGTATTTTCGGTCAAATAATTATACCCAGATAATGTAATAAGTTATATTGAAATATACACATATATTTTATAAATATATTACAAAATATGTATGCAAAATAACTTGTATAAAATATAGTAATTAGCTTGCCTTTCCTCAAAGTTCTCTTGGGTCACTGGTTTCAAGAAATATCACATTTCTATGGCTTTTCCCAATCTCATCTTTTTTGTTTGCTTGTTTAACCAGGGGGTACCTGTACAAGTTTGTTACATAGACACACCGTGTAATGCTGGGGTTTGGACATCTACTGAACCCACACCTAAACAGTGAATGTAGCTTTTCAGCCCCCGTTGTGCTCCCATCCCCTTTTGGAGACCCTGGTATCTATTGTCTCTGTCTTTATGCCCATGTGTGCCTATAGTTTAGCTCCCACTTGTAAGTGAGAATGCCTATGACATCTGATTTTCTGTTTCTGCACTAATTCACTTAGGATAATGGCCCCTGGCCTAATCCATGCTGCTGCAAAAGACATAATTTCACTTTTTAATGGCTGCATAGTATTCTATGGTGTATATGTAACACATTTCCTTCATCCAATCCACCACTGATGAGCACCTAGGTTAGTTCCATGACCTTGCTGTTATGAATAGTGAGGCAATAAACGTTTGAGTGCAGGTGTATTTTTGGTAAAACAATTTTTCTTTGTCCCATCGCATATTTTAAAAGTGCTCTTAAAATGATTTTATAGAAAATACCTAGAACAGCAGAGAAAGTACCATCAAAAATTTCTTCTTTATTAATAGCAACAAAAAACACTGGTGAAAATTGTCCAAATCAACTTTTCAGTACTCCAAACATTAACAAAGACTTACAACATGCCAAGAAGCATTTATGCAAGAAAAACTGGTGAATATCAGTAAAACCAGAAAGCTTTGAGGTGTTTTGTTACCTTGCCCTATTCCCATCCTCCTCACTCCAGCTTTTAGTAGCCTTAAAAACCAACAAATGCACAAATGTGGTAGTTGTGAAAACATCAGCCTAGCCACCACTGTGGAGAGCAGAGGCACAATAGGTTCGGAGCTCCCTACAAGTTCCATACTGAGAAAAACTGTCAGGAAGCCCCTTGAAAAGCTTGATGCCCCAGCTTTGTCTTTACTTGACCTCACTCAAAGCTTGCTCTTTGAAAACAGCCCTATCCCTAGGGCATTTGTCGAAAACTATCAGCAGTGATTATTTAACATCACAGCTACCAGAGGCAGCAATACCAGTTAGGGCTAACAAAAGTCTAACAAAAAGAATTAAAGAAAAAAATAGGAAAGGAAATGTCTGCAACACTCCCAAATAGTCCCTGGAAGCTACAAGGCCATGCTCATGTGCAGGGCTCTCCAAATGTCGAGGAAAGATCTAAAAAGGTCCTAATCTCTTATTTCTGACTGACTTTGAGGTTCTTCTCAGGCAGAAAATAAAAGCTAAGGCAGAGTTGTAAACTGCCTGCAGTAGTATTAAACACATACCCCAAAAAACACACAGAGATTCTCAGAAAAACCTAAGAGACTTACTGCTTCAAGGAATTTAATAAACTCTGTCTGCTCATTAGCTGTCCACTAAGTTGACAGATAGTTAAATACAAAGAATACAGACTTTGCAAAATTATCCCAGATTAAACAAACAGCAAAACAAAAAATAAATAAATGCAGTAAAAACAAGAAACCCAGGTAGGGGAAAGAATCTGAGTTTCTAGAATAGCCACATTATTTGAAATGTCCAGTTTTCAGCAAAACTTGTAAGACACAGAAAGAAACAGGAAAGTATGGCTCATACGCAATAAAAAAGCAGCTAATAGAAATTATGCCTGAGGAAGCCCAGATGTTAAACTTATTAGATGAAGACTTTATATCAGGTATTATAAATATAGTCAAAGAACTTAGAAATCAGTAACACAGCTATCTTCTAAAATTAAAGAATAAATTAAGAAAAAACTGAGAAAAGTCATCTCTAGCAGACCTGCCCTACAAGAAATACTAAAGATAACTCTCAAGACTGAGCTGAAAAGACACTAGACAATAACTTAAATCCACACAAAGAAATAAGGAGCACCAGGACTGCATAGTAAATATAAAAGACAGTATAAATGTATTTTTCTTTATAACACTTTTCCTCCACCAGTTTAAAATTTAACTGCAGGCAGGGTGTGGTGCTGACGCCTATAATCCCAGTACTTTGGTAGGCTGAGGTGGGTCGATTACTTGAGGCCAGGAGTTCAAGACCAGCCTGGCCAACATGGCAAAACCCCATCGCTACTAAAAATACAAAAACATAGCTATGCATGAAGGCAGGGGCCTGTAATTCCAGCTACTTGGGAGACTGATGCAAGAGAATCATTTGAACCCAGGAGGCAGAGATCACAGTGAGCCAAGATCTCACCCCTGCACTCCAGCCTGGGCAATGGGGAGAGACCCTGTCTCCAAAAAAAGAAAAAAGAAAAAAAAATTAACTGCATACAGCAATAACTGTAAAGCTGTGCTGATGATGGGCACACAATGTAGAAAGATGTCATTTGTATAGCAACAGCAACACAAAAATAGGGGAGAAAACAGAGCAATATAAGAACAAAGTTGTACACAGTATTAAAATTAGGATGCTATTAATCAAAGTTAGATTGTCAAAAATTAAGATGATAATTGTAATCCCCAAGGGAACTATTAAAAAAGAACTCAAAATTATATAGTTAAAAAAATTAAATTAGAATGAAAATGATACGCTAGAAAACAGAAAAAAAAAAAACAAAAACAAAATGCAATGTCTATCAACAGATGAATGGATAAACAAAACGGTGTATCAATACAATCAAATATTATGTATCAATAGTAAGAAATGAAGTCCTGATACATGCTACAACATGGAAGATCCTTGAAAACATCATGCTAAGTATAAGAAGCCAGACACAAAAGGCTGTATTTTATTCCATTTATATGATGTGTGCAGAAGACATTGATAAAAAATTCATGGTGGCTAAAGGGAGGTAGAAAGAGGAATGACTGCTAATAGGTATAGGCATGGGTTTCTTTTTAAAGTGATGCAACTATTCTAAAATTTAATAGTTGTGATGGCTACAACTCCAAATATACTAAAAAGCACTGAATGTTATACTTTAGATGGATGGATTTCCTTTTTTTTGTGTGAATTATATCCCAATAAACCTATTTTTTAAGTTATAAAATAATTAACCACATACATATACATAGATTCTATCAAGTATACATCAATACTAAAAATTTCATTAGGACCCTATTGTTATTCAGTGGGTCTTAATCTCTTAGAATGGGCAAAGGGGAATGTTCTGTCCTAGAAGCCAGGGACCTTTCCCTCTGACAGCATATGATCCATTAAAGGACCTCTGTCATTAATTTCCTGACCGCTTGTTTACCTGCTTCGTGGTAACAGTGAATTTTTCAGCAAGAAATGTAGTCTAAGGAGAAGGCCATCTTTCCTCATCTCCAATTGTGACACAATGACCTTCTGCCTTCCCCTCCAACACTATGATAACTTTCAGTCTTAAAGTCCTTAAAAAAATAAATAAGTAAAAGCTGCTCCCTTCAACATTCCGCAGAATATCACATCCACTACTGGCATTCCCCACTCCTACTCCAGCCTCTCCCTCCTGGCAGCAGTGATGAGTTCTGCCAGTTCGTGTTCCATGTGGAATTGCTAAGATGTTATTAGGAGAAATGCCACTAAAAATAATAAGATACCAAAAGTGGAAGATACAGCCCAGCATGAAGAGCAGGGTGGTTGCAGGCTTCTAGAAAAAGGTACACAAATAAGTTTTGGAGTTCAGAAGGGAAGATACAAGCCAAAAGAGTAGCAAGGTGTCATTTTAAAGAACTGTCCACTTTCACGTTGTCTGCCTGGTTTCATATGAAGTGTCATCAGCACAGCCTTTTCAGTTCTGTTGCCTGGATTGAACATACTGACTTTCACATGTACCCTTTAAATTCAGATCCCAACCTTTGTCCTCCTAATTCCTACAAAGTAAACTAAACAGACCAGTGAATGTTGACTCAAAGATTACATTTTTACATAGAAGGATATAGAACTTACCACTCTCTTTTCCCTGAAATCAATGCCCACTGTTGTGATAAATTTGGAGTTAAATTTACCATCTGTGTATTGGTAAAGTACACTGGTCTTCCCTACGCCAGAGTCTCCCAAAGCTAAAAACTTGATGAGGTAATCATAATCTCCATCAGACATAATGAAGAACTCAGTGGTTCACCTGTAAAATACACACAAATTTTTTAAGTTAAAATCCATTAGAAAACATAAATTATCCATTAACAAAGCAATAACAATACTCAGTTTAACACATATGTCTATGGGCTGTATGAAAAGAGGGTTGCCTACCTATTGTTCACCTTCCTTGAAGACCTAATAACCAGCTAGATGAGGAGCTATTGCAATAATAACTAACAGCATAGTTTTAATCTAACATACGCATTACAGCACCATTAGGACAAAGATTCCAAGTGAGAATGATAATCAACAAGAAGGGAACAGTCACTAAGTCTTATCTGCAGACCATATAGAGCAAAAACTAATAAAAGAAAAATAAAGGAAGGAGAATGTTATGAGGAACAATAGTAGTTATTAGAGTTCAAGGGTTTCCAATTTCTCCTTATTTTTCAAAGTCTCCTAGTGCTAAAATTCGCAATTGCAAAATAACGAACCAGTCCAAATGCCCATCACTCAACAAGTAGATAAAGAAATTGTAGCATATAGATATATACACCATGAAATACTACTCAGCCACAAAAAGGAACGAAATAACAGCATTTGCAGCAATCCGGATGGAACTGAAGACCATTATTCTAAGTGAAGTAGCTCAGGAATTGAAAACCAAACATCACATATTTTCACTTACAAGTGAGAGTGAAACTACTCAAGAGGATTCAAAGGCATAAGAATGATACAATGGACTTTAGGGACTGAGAGGGTGGGAGGGTGAGGGATAAAACAGTACAGATTGAATACAGTGTACACTGCTTGGGTGATGGCTGCACCCACATCTCAGAAATCACTACTAAAGAACTTTTTCATGTAACCAACCACCTGCTCCCCAAAAACCTAGGAAATTTTTAAAAAGAAACAAAGTCTCCTAGTGCTAGAATCTTGCCTTTTTTTTTTTTTCATAGACATCTAGGCAATTTCATTTATTCTATTCACTTTCACATTTCTACAGTTCCTTAAAAGACACTGTTATTTCTTTTTTTTTTTCTTTTTTTGAGACAGAATCTCATTCTGTCACCTGGCTGGAGTGCAGTGGCACGATCTTGGCTCACTACAACCTCCGCCTCTCAGGATCAAGTGATTACCCTGCCTCAGCCTCCCACATAGCTGGGACTATAGGGATACGCCACCACACCCACATCTAATTCTTATATTTTTTGTAGAGATGGGGGTTTCACCATATGGGCCAGGATGGTCTCGATCTCTTGACCTCATGATCTGCCCGCCTTGGCCTCCCAAAGTGCTGGGATTTGCAAGATTGAGCCACCACGCCCAGCCAAGACACTGTTATTTCACAAATAAATTTAGTCCCTGCTTCCTTACAAATTACTATTAATATGTACTACATATTAAGTCAGATTTCTCTGGAATAGCACTGCTCACTTGGGAACTGAGTTCCAGATTTTAGCAGTCACTGCTCAGAGACCACAGTCCCACACCTAAGGACTCGCTTACCTATATTTACCTGGGTATTCTATCAAGAATTGCTAAAAATTCAGTTCTTCAACACCGACTAAGACAAAAGTCCACCTTAATATCAGCAATACCCAACCTTGGCTATTTTTGTTTTTTTGTAATCAGCACTTTTCATGGTTTGTTTTTACTCTCTAAATAGATTAAAACCCAAAATATCAGTCCAACTAGAAATGGAATCTCTCACCAGGGAAGGTTTACTTCTTTTTTTATGAAAATTTTATTGATACAGAATATTTGTACATTTTAATGGGATGTTTTGTTACATGCACAGAATATAATGATCAGATCAAGGTATTTAGAGTATTTATTACCCAAGTATTTATCATTTTTATGCATTGAGAACATTTCAAGTCCTCTCTTCTGGCTACTTTGAAATACACAATACATTGTTGTTAAGTATAGTCACCCTTGCCTACTGTCGAACATTAGAACTTACTCTTTCCATCTAACTATGTGCTTGCACACATTAACCAACCTCTCTCTATTCCCCCAAAGGCCAATAAACTCTTCTGAAAATCATAAAAATAACTAGCTATCCCATTAACACTGACAATTCTACATGACTAGTCAAACATACATGTTCACCTATCTACACACCTGCCAGATGCCCTATGTTAGATGCTACTGACTCCCGGCATTATCCCCTTTTTACCCAACCCCATATTCAGAAACTTAGCTATCATACTCAGTGCTTCCTATAGGGTTATTTCCATATAGCCATCAAATTAATAAAAACTCAGGCAAGACTATTTTGTGGTTTTCAATGTTGCCTCCCTCACCCCATCCTCAACTTGGTGACTTACCCTATGCTGGAAACTCCTGAATGCTAAGCCCCATGAGCCACTGCAGTGTGCTTCCTCAGAGTGCTCCGGTGCAGATCTGCAACCTCACCTTTCAGGTATGGCGAGCCCATGGATAAGGGCAGAGCCTCTACAAACATTCAAAATTCTATTTGCACACTATAAAGAGAGACGCCTTACAGATGATGCCTTACCTATCTTTATAGCTTGGGTATTTGGAGGTGTAGGTCACCTGTATTAATGACATATAACAGAATTCCTCTCCAAAAAATGAAAACTTGGACATCAACATTATAGCATGTCGTATCACAGCATCACACTTGGCTCTAAGTTATTGGAAATAAGAGCTAAGAATTGAAAAGCAAGTCCAAATAATGTTGACTCATTTGGGGGCTTCCCCCCAAACTGAATAGAGCAGCAGCAAACAATCAATCCTGCCATGAGAATGATGCAAAAATCACTGTGACTACCTTATTTCCTCTGTAAGTTGAAAAGAAAAGTGGTATAACTATGCTTTTTATATCACTTAAAGTACAGGAAAAAATGCTGTCACCAATGGCATTATATTCTAGAAAGACTTAAGTGAAATTACTTAACTGAAACTCTCTCTAATGTGTTTCATTTTCATAGGTAATCACACGTGTAAGTCTACAAATGATCTTCGTGAGTTCTGTTTTCTATTCAGGATAGCGATACTGACCAAGTAATCGTAAAGGGACTGTTAACAAACCAAATGCCACAACCTGAAGGTATAGATGCCACCATCAATATTAATCATAATTTCTACTTTTCAGATTCTACCTTTAAGACAATTATCTGCTTTCTTGATCTGAAAATAAATATTCAGACCTTCCACTCTTTGGGTTCAGTTTTCTAAAAGACAACACAGATCCCAGAGAGGTAGAGTGATTTGCAGGATATAGAACTGAGATGTCCTAGCTCCAAGTCCAATGTCAATTCTACCCAAAGTTTCATATCCATTACTCATTTTAATTACACATGCATACTGGACTTTAAAGTGACCAGCAGTATGGTATCTTACAAGGTAAGCTAATAGGAAACTCACAAAGTCAAGCAAAGCTGGGTTTGAATCCCAAGTCTCCCAGATACTAATTACTTTGATGTCTCTGGGCCTTTGATTTCCAGGTTTCTGTTCTATAAAAAAGAATACACATTACCTCACACTATTGTTCTGAGGATTCAATGAGATACTGTTTATGAAGTGCCCCGCACAATGGTTGGCACATACTGAGAACTTAACCGTAACTTTGGAAAACGTATTTAATCTTTTTTGCCTTGGGATCCTCATCTGTAAAATAGGAATGAGATTCTATTTTGTCAATTCTTTCTTATTGTCATGCTTTCTTATTTTAACTTCTTTAACTTCATTTCAGTCTTACAAGACATCTTGCGATTGCTACTATAATTCAGGTGTCACTAGAGATATAGTTGTGAGAAAGCCTTTCGTTAGCATCTTCTAGCAAGAGCAAGAAAGCATCATCGATATATTTTAGACTTGATGAAGCACAATAATAAAGCTATTTCTGATGGCTATCGTGAAGACTGAGCTAGTGTATACACACAAAGTTTGGAATAGTGCACAGGACATAGTAAGTCCTATGTAAGTGTTAGCTGCTATTAGCAGCAGCATCTGGCAATCTAGCTTCCAAGGGTCAATATGCAGGCAATGCCCTTTTCTTTCCTACAAGTATAAGAAAGTACACTGAGCCCCTAAACTAAAAATTAATTTCAAAAAATAAGGATCTCCTAAGAGTATTTGAAGCCAAGTTTACATATTTAAACTCTGTACCTCCTTGAGAAACTACTGTCTACCTCAAGGAAATGCCTTCTAAAAATTCAAGAATGCCCTTAATTTGGGATACGCAAAAGACTTTCTAATTCAGCTCACTTCTATCTCTCCTCCTTACACAAATATTTTTTCAAAGTGCTCTCCACCCTCACTATCATCAGATTAACAATAGAAAGCAAGAAACACCCACTTCCTCAACATGTACTATGTGGTGTTAATTGCCTGGTGAGAAAAAGTCAATCATCTTCCTTATTTTTAAAATAAAACATATTTTCATCTGTAATACCAGTGACTGGGGAGGCTGAGGATGGACTGAGGTCAGGAGTTCAAGACTAGCTCAGGCAACCAGTCAGACTTATCTCTTAAAAACACATACATAGATATATATATATTTTAATTTTATTTTATTTTTTCTGAATTAGCCAGATGTGATAGCATTAGCCTGTTGTCCTAGATATTTGAAAGGCTGAGGCGGGGGATTGCTTAAGCCCAGGAGTTCAAGTCTGCAGTAAGATATGATCACACCACTACACTGCAGTCTGGGCAAAAGGGTAACATCCCATCTCTAAATAAATTTTTTAATAAATAAAAATAACTGCACACGTACCCCTGACCTTAAAATAAAAGTTGAAGGAAAAAAAACACTGAAACATTTTTAAAATTATTTTTTAGGAAATAAGATAGAGTAGATTTAGTTAAGAGCAAAGGGAAAAGATCTAGTTCTATTTCTCTCTCTCTCTCCTACACACACACAGACATATCACAGCCCGTATTTTCCATGAAGTGTCATATTAAAATCAATCATAGACTCTAACCTTAGGATCCCCTACTGTAAGGCAGAATCATTCTGAAACTACTCTAGATAGGTCAGTCATTTTTTGAAAGCCAAATTTCCCTCTATTA